GGACTAAGCTCTCAGGACTTCCTAAACCTTAATCTTTTCAATATTTTTTTTTTAGCCCAGGCTATCCTCAAACTCCTTATTCTCTTGCCTCAGACTGCCCGGTGCTGAGAAGTGAGTACCTCACCCTGCTAAGGCTCTGTTCTGCTTAACAATTAGCATTAGATCACGGGGATGGGGAAGTAGCATTCGGACCACAGGATTCTCAAACAGGAGTGACAATGAGCCCAGGGCTTTGCAGATCTGCAGTGGTGAGACTTGAAAAGTAACTCCTAAGACTCGTGACTGATAAGAGACACAAAGTCCATTCCCTGAGGAAACTTCCTCCCACCCTGCCCAACACTCAAACACCTCTCCCAGCCACACCTGTGGAGCCACTGACTTTCCACATGAATTCTAGATCCAGCTTTTCTCTACATAAAAATTTTGCCGAGCCCGGTGGTGCTGGCACAAGCCTTTAATCCCAGCACTCGGGGAGGCAGAGGCAGGTAGACCTCTGAGTTTGAGGCCACCCGGGCCAGAACAGCCAGGGCTACACAGAGAAACCCTGTCTCTAAAAAACCAAAAAAACAAAACAAAGAAAAAAACCTTGCTGAGTTTTTGGAATGTGTTAAGACTACATCTTTCAGCCATTATGCAGTGTCTGTCCATTTATGTAGGTCACCTATAATTTCTTTCTCCAGTGATTTATAGTTTTCAGAGTGAACATCTACATATTTTGATAGATTTCCAAGTATTTCATTCTTTTCAGAGCTAGCAACTGTTTTATTATTTTTCTTTTCTTCTTCTTCTTTTCCTCCTCTTTTTCTTCCTCCTTATTCTTTCTGGTAAGACAGTTGGACAGTTTTATTCTTCAGTACAGGCTAGCATCAAACTTATGGTAACTTTCCCATCTCAGCCTCCAAATATTGGGCTTACAGGTGTGAGCCACTAAACCAGGCATACGTGAACTGTCATGTGGATTCTAGGAATCGAACCGGGTCCTAAAGAAGAGCATTCAGCGTTCTTAACCACTGACCCATTGCTCCAACTCCTACACCAGGCTTTTCTAATTTGAATTTCTAGTAATGTATTGCTAGAATACAGAAATATGGTTGATTTTTACATGTTGATCTTACATATGATAACCTTGTCAATTCACTTATTAATTCTAGCGTCTTGCCAGATAATTATCTACAGAGTTGTTCATGCCACCTACACATAAGTTCCAGTCTATATCCACCCACCCCAACACCCATCCATCCACACCCACTGACCCTATCCACCCAATCACCCCATTCATCCATCCACCTACCCATCCATCATCCATCCTTCCATCCATCCATCCTTGTTTGCACCAGTTAGAGCTTTTGGTATGTGTTAAATATGAATGAAGAGCAGCCATCACTGCCTGACCCCCTGGGGAAAGCATTTGTTCCTTTGCATCAGGTAGGAAGTTAGCTCACAGTCAGTCTATTCCAGAATGAAGTTCCCTTTTTGTTCAAGTTTCCTGTCAGCATTTATTAGAAAGGGTGAGCCTGGGCCTGGTGATACGGATCAGTAAGTAAAGGTGCTTTCTACCTGATGATGCAAGCCTGATGATCTTCGTTCCATCCTGGGAGCCCACATAAGGGTAGAGGAGAGAACCAACTCCAGAGTCAGCCTCTGACCTCCACAGGTACGTTCACTGAGAGCTAGAGCTTGCCCATCAAGGCCGACAGCAAGCTCCAGTTTGCCTGTCTCTGCCTCTCCGGTGCTGGGTTTACAAGCACAGGCTACCATACTCAGCTTTTTACATGCGTGCTAAGAACTAAACACATCCTCAGACTTGTGAGGCAAGGTTCTACTGCCAGCTATCTCCCCAGCCCTGGTGCCTGGTCTTTAGACCAGCTCCCCAAAAGAGAGGACACCAGAGTCTATGGCAACTAAACCTCAACTGGCCCAGACCTTCTAGTGTAAGTGTGGGATCTGAGACATAGGCTCCAAGCAGTAGCTACAGCCAGGGTTTATCAGAGTTGAAGCTGTGTAAATGTGGCGTTTTATGCTACATATAGTTTCTTTGTGTTCCCGTTTGGCTTTAGCAAAAATCCAGGTTGGGTTTTTTGTCTGTTTTACCATCACATCCCACACAGCTCAAGAGTACAATAAAACAATCACCGACTGTGTTGACTGGCTTGAGGTTACAAACTGCCAAGTAAAAAACGTTACAATATCCAACCCTGAAATGCAAATACTCATAGTTGCTTCTGAATCAGCTAAGAAAGCACCTCAGGTTACTTTAAGCTATTAATTCTTTGTTTGTTTGTTTGTTTTTGTTTTTTGGAGACAAGGTTTCTCTGTGTAACCTTGGCTGTCCTGGATTCTCTTGGTACCAGGCGGCCCTCAAACTCACAAAGATCTGCCTGCCTCTGCCTCCCAGTGCTGAGATTACAGGTGTTCACCACTGCACCCAGCTAACTCCTTAATTCTTACAATTCCTAAAACGCTCAATCAAGTCATTTTCCCTCATATGCTATTATTACTGAGCAAAGAGTTAGGGCGGGTTTAGAGATTTCAAAATCAAAGGCCTAGGGTAAAGTTTACTCCCTCCCTCTTTTAAGGGAGGAAGTCTTCTGCCCATCGACAGAGACAAGTCCTAGTAGCCCACTACCAGTTTTCTGGAATTTTTTTTTTTAAGATTTATTTATTTTTTTTAATTTATGTGGGTCTGCATGAGTATATGACACCAATGTAGCACTGAGGCCAGGAGATGGCATCAGATCCCCTAGAGCTAGACTTACAAGCAGCTGTGGGAACCAGCCCTGGGTGCTAGGAACTGAACCCAAGTCCTCTGTAAGAATAACAATGGATCCTAATTAGCAAGCCATCTCTCCAGCCTCCAGTGTGACACTAAGTCAATATGCGCATGAGGATCGCCTGGGGAATCCTATTAAAACCTAATTAAGTGGCAGAAGGTCTGAGTCTCCCGATTGTGTAGAGGCCTAGGGCGGTTAGCAATGCTGGACCCAGTGTGGGAAAAGCAAGGCTCTACAGGTCGTGTCTACACATACTACGCCTTTTAGAAGGCAAATTTTACTGACGTCAAAGAATTAGTACTTGCTCTTCTCCCTGGTTGGCGTCTGAGCCGTGCACATCCTAGAAGCACCCTCATAAGGTCTTGTTTGTTTTCCAGTTTAAGTTTAAAGTCTAATTTCTTGGAATCTGTTTTCTTGAGGGAAGGTGGGTCGCCCTAAAAGCCCTAACGTTTAGCAAAGCTGAGAAGCCAAAGGCGTGGGGCCATCTGACTGCCACGTCATTCAAGGGGCCTTTCCTTCACTTGCCAGTGCACATTTTAAAGGCTGGCCCCTAAAGACCTACCACATGAAAAGCAAGTCCTACCACACAACCACACCACCTTTCTAGAGGGGTAGACATGGTTGGCTCCTGCTCCTGCTCCTACTCATGGAGATGGCAAAGTCCAAGCAGTGAGCTGATAAGCAACACTCAACACAAACCACTCCGTCTCCGTTCTGCGGGGCAAGTTAAGAGTTCACCAGAAGCAAGTTCTATCTACTTCCGAAGGCCTACTGAGTAAAATAAGCAAGGTCCTTACTAGGCCTCGTAGTCCACCAGGCTCCATGTTCAGCCCTGCCCTTTTGATTATCTGCACTGTTCTCAAACATTAGCTAGCTAGCTGCCTCTTTTAAAAAGAGGATTACATACTTCTCCACACACCTACATTCTCTTTGCTAGCAGCAACACCTAACACAGAAACAAAATACATCCTTGAGAACATTCCAGATTACTGGATTAAGATCGGTTTAAAATTTAAAGATAGATAACTTCTACCCCACTTATTTCTCATTAAAGCCCTTCAAAACTATGTAGCAGAAGACCAAGCCTTCCACCCACAGAGAAAACCCTCCAAACACGGGGACTTTTATTTAAACAGTGTTCACACATGATATTTCTCCCAAGAAAGGTTAATAGATGCACTCAGCTAATAAGCACAATTGGACCAATGCTCCTGGAAAGAAAGCGCAAGTATGTTGCAGTTCTGTGCAAACAGCTTCTGTCTGGCTGAGAAGTCTATAAAGTTTTGAGGCCCCAGTGGAAGGCTACCTGTGACAGGGAGGAGGAGGGATACAAAGGTTTTTCTCAGCTGGACCATGCCCTTTCCACAATAGAGTTAAACCACTACCCAGACAGACCTGCTACAAAACCACAAAACAGCAACAGAATCCACAAGTCCCTGAACCAAACACTCTGGGGGTTAAGAAAAAAAAAAAAAAATTGTGGATCCTAAAAAATGTGCTCTATGATGCCTAAGTCCAACAGAAAGTTCTCCCGTATCTGCTACCTCCCAAACTGGCCGCCCTCCCAGAGTGACTTAACTCTGGGTACCAATTGGGCAGTCCCAACAAGCCACCAGTGCTGAGTCGAGGACTACGGGATGCTAAGGAGGAAGCAAACGTCCGTCCGCAGTAAAGACTGGAGGCTTTGTGGGTAATCTGGACTCCCCCACTGCATCTGGGCTACATGCCTCCATTCAACAAATATTTATTGAGCGTCCACCATCTGCTGGGCACCCTGCTAGGCGCCAGGGAGGAAACCATGCCACAGCCCCCAGCCTCGGTTAGCAGAGGACCGTCTGGGGGTTTCGCGAACCGGAAAACCTGCTACAAGTTGCTAAGCACAGTAGTAGTTAGGGGGATAGCACGGCCCTCGCAACCGGCTCTGCGCACCAACCTCGCCGATGAAGCGGGGAGGGAACAGGTAGGCCCCGGAGCAGGTGTGCAAGAACCTGGCACCCCTGAGGCTTCGGAGCCGCACAGGGCAGCCTCTGGCCGAGGGCGTGGTCCCCAGAGGGGCAGGGACCACAGCCCGAGGACCTTGGAGTACAGGGTGCGTGGGGCGGGGGCCGCGCAGCCCGGACCTGGCTCTGGCCCGCCGGGCCTGTCCCCCGTGGCCGGGTGCGGGGAAGGAAGGCGCGGGCTAGGCCGCCGACCCGCCCGCCCGTACCTGGAGCCCCGCCCGGCACCTACCACTTGGGCGACCTTGAGGCGGCCGAGCGCTCCGCGCAGGTAGTCGGGGTCGCAGCGCAGGCCGGCCAGCCCGCGGCGCTGGCTCACCGGCTCGGTGGTGGGCTGGTACGGGCTGCTGGCGCCCGAGATCATGGAGGTGCTCGAGGCCTCGCCCTCGAAGCCGTCCAGCTCCTCGCCGCCCCGCATGCTGCCGCCCCGCGCGGCCGGTTCCCCCGGCGCCTGGAGCGGGCGGGCTCAGAGCGGCCGCCGCATCGCCGGCGCCTGACTGCCCCGCCGCCGCCGCCGCCGCTGCCGCCTCTGCTCCCGCGGCTCGGTCCGCTGGGGCTCGGCTCCCGCCGCCTCGGCAGCGGAAAGGGAGGGAGGCGGGAGCGGGCGCCGAGGGAAGGAGGCGGGAGCCGCGCGCCGGCCCGGAGGGGGCGGAGACTGCGGCCGGCGCGGGGAGGGGCGGGGCCCTGAGGGCTGGGGGCGGGGGTCGTCGGGGAGAGGAGGGCGTTGCGGGCTGGGCGGAGCCGGCGGAGAGCCTTAGTCACGCCCCCGCCACGCCCTCACCTGCTGGGCATCCCGCCTGGCATCCGGGTGGTCTCTGGCTGCCCTGGCAAGGAAAGGCCTAGTGGAGCGGGAGAGGGGGAAAGGGGGGAAAGGCTGACCAAGAAGTCACAGCTGCCTTCTCCGCCCGCAGCTTCAGAGTCTGATTTAGAGAAAGTGGGATCGTCAGCAGGTATTCTGGAGGACTTCCCAGTGAAAACTAGGACTGGGGCTAGAGAGATGATTGGTAAAGCGCGTTCCTGTGGCTCACAGAGAATTCGACATCCTCTTCAGGCCTTGGCTGGCACCTGCATTCACGTGCTCATATCCTCCCAAACACGCACACAGACACACGGACACATAAATACAGAAAATAAATCTTTAAAACAGAGATAGGCTATTCTGAAGGGTGAGTTGGCTCGATGGGTAAAGGCGCTTGCCACCAAACTTAATGACCCGAGTTTGATCCCGAGACCCACATGATGCAAAGAACCTAGTCCCTCGAATTGGCCCTCTGACCGCCACATGCCCACCCCGCTACACACGCTGAATAAATAAATGTAATAAAGATCGGCTAATTCTGCCTACTACCAGGCACTGTGCCTGGTACAAACTGGACCTGACTACAGCTGTGTGAGACAAAACAGGGTGCGTGTGTGTGCCTTCCCGCCCTGGGCACCCTGAGACAGGCCAATTCTATGCCAGAGGAACAACCTCTGTGTCAATTTGGGACCCAGTGGCCTGGCGTAGGAAGGGGCATGAGCACACAGTAGGTCCTTGGCAACTAATTCTAGTTTCCTATCTTGGCTAAGAAAAGATTTTGCTACCTCTAAGTATCAAGCTAGATGAAACACAAATTTTGCCCTGGAGGCATTAATTATAGGCCAATTTGTCATTCAAGTGTGAAGACTAATTTTAAGCTTAAGTAAAACACTGACTTTCTAAGAATTGTCACTTTGACATTGAACCTTTCAGCACTCTGAATACAGAGCTTTCTCTGCTCCGGGCCCTGGGGAAGGTACTGGATGAGGTGTTATAATCATTCCTGTTTTACACAAGCAGAGACAAAAGTACCAGAGTAGAAGTGGCTTGTCCAAGAGCACGCAAATATTCACTGAGTAAAACAAAACACAGATTCAGACTTTTTCCAAAGATGAAAGGACAATAGCTTCAATACTTAAATTATTTGACTGACTGTAAGTTAAGCAATATGCTAAGAATTGAGGACAGGGATGCTGGGTGGGTAGAGGTACTTGCCACCAAGTGGGTCACTTCTGTTTAGTTCCTGTGACCCACAAGGTGAATGAAGAGAACCAATTCTTGCAAGTGGTCCTCTGACCTCCAAAAACACGCACCAGAGTCCCGCCACACCAAGAATAAATGTAACAACAGCCTTTTTAGAATTTGAAGGCAAACAACTCTCTCTTAAACTCCTGCTGAAAGGGCAGCTACAGGAGCCCATGAAACCACAGAGACAAAGAATGGGAAAGGAGACAATGACAGCGAAATACTGGAAGCTGGACAGCAGTAACTGATACAGCACCTCTAAGAGAACAGAGCTCCAAGCTGCCAGTGGGAAAGGCTGAAATGCAGCCCAGATTACATATCAGAACCAAAGGCTCAGGGGGGCCAGAAAAGGCTAGAAGTAGGGGTGACAGCAGGAAAACTACAAGGCGATCCATTAAAAGCTTTGAAAAAGTATTAAAGGATCCCTGGATCCTCTTCCATACCCCTTAAGACAAGTTGTAGTCTTTGAGAGAGAGAGTATTATCTCCAGGTTTATTGAAAATATTACAGCATGGCAGAAAAGATGGTATTTTCAAATTCATGCCCACTGCTGAATGGCCTGCAGGTCGGAGGGACTGCCAAAGACCAGAAGCGTCAGCCTTTTCCTGGTGTCAGCATCTACCTTCTCCACGGTGCAGGACTGGGGCCTCGGGAACAAATTCTGTCCATTCTCTCCTGCTCCAGGAGCAAGACGGAGGAACCTCTCTGAACCTGCTTATGTGTGGCACAGCTGCTAGATTCCTGTGCAGCATCTTGCAGGGAATAACAGTGATATGTGTGCACGCACTTGGTGTGGACATTGCTGCCGGCCTGTGAGGCACTTCTCAATAAGCTCGGCCGCTGTCTTCACCGTTGTGGTGGGAATGTGGCCCGTGATAGCGGGTCCAAGTAAAAGAGGTTCAAGAGGGTCCCTTTAAAAAAAAATCATTTACGCCAGGTGTGGCGGCGCATGCCTTTAACCCCAGCACTCAGGGGGGCAGAGGCAGGCAGCTCTCTGTGAGTTCGAAGCCAGCCTGGTCTATAAAGCGAATCCAGGATAGCCAGAGCTACAGAGAAACCCTGTCTCGAAAAACCAAATAAATAAATATCATTTATCTAGGAGATGTGTGTGAGAGTTCAGGTGCTCGGCCCACAACACAAATGTCCAGGTCAACCTCAGGGGTTAGACCTCACTTTCCACCTTGTTTGAGACAAAATTTCTTTCATTGTTCGCTAATGCGAACACCAGGCTACACGGCTCAACAGCTTCTGGCCAGTTCTCCTGTCTGCACCTCCCATTTCCAGTAGAAGGCTTTAGGGTCATGCCAGGATTACAGACACCTGTGCTCCTGGTATGTCTGTCTTATATGTGGATTGTGGGGATCCGAACTCAAACTCAGGTCATCAGACTAGCATGGCAAGCTATGAAGCATCACTGGCATTGGGGGTAGGCATCTCTTAAACAGAGATGACTAGGCACAGTAAGGGGCAAGCCAGGGTACCTTGCTGAAAATTAGGGTGAATTAGGTGAAAGTTTGCTTATTAAATGTAGAGAGTCCCAGGCTTCTTTCGCAAGAGATCATGAAAGCTAAGACTGCAACTCTTTTATTTTTCCTGAGACAGGGTTTCTCTGTGTAGCCTTGGTTGTCCTGAATCTGATTTGTAGACCAGGCTGGCCTCGAACTCACAGATATCTGCCTGTCTCTCCCTCCCAGAGTGCTGGGATTACAGACATGTGCCACAGTGCCTGGCCCAAGACCTCAACTCTTATCTAGACAGTTTAGATAGCCAAGAAGGAAGACCTACAGAGATTGGCAATAAAGGTCCCTCTAGATACAGCTGGCCATTTCTCCCCAGTACTGAGTTGATAGCTGAGAAATATTACCTAAGCTACAGACCTTCACATGAGCTCTAGAGGACCAATTAGCTTTGAAATATGATGGCTAAAGGCCACTGAACATTTAAGGAACACCAATCATGTAACAGAAGTTGAAACAAGAAAAATCACCTTCTTATTTCTTGGCAAGAAGACATGTAAAGCATATGATTACATGTTTACGTGTGTGTTTGGACTAAGCAATGAACTAAGTGATGTCTGCAAAATAATAAGTTATTAAAATGTGTATGTGCCATTTTATAAACATATTATATTTGTGTATATGAAAACATAACATGTATCATAAATATTTGCAGAGGAAATTTGTAATCATAAAAGATTAGACACAGATAGGGTGCCTATAATTTTTCACTCAGGATGCATCGGCAGGAGTATTGCCTCAGTTTAAGCCTTGAACCAGTTGTTCCCAACTTTCCTAATGCTGCAACCTTTAATACAGTTCTTTATGTTGTCACGACCCTCAACCATAAAATTATTTTGTTGCTACTTTATAACTGTAGTTTTGCTACCATTATGAATCGTAATGCAAAGATCTGATACAAGACCTCACAACTGGGGGTCGCAATCCACAATTTGAGAACCACTAGTTTAAAGTCAGCCTTGTCTTCATACCTAGTTCTGGGACAGGGGTCTACTAATATCACAAAAAAAAAAAAAAAAATTTGGGTGTGGTAGTGGCTTGTACCTGTTACCCCACCCAGCACTCAAGAGACCACTGCTTTGCAAGCCAATATGAGATACTTAGAGACTCTAGGATAGCCAGAGGTCAGTGTGAGAACTTGTCTCAAAAAATTAAAATTAAAAGAAGACAGTGCCAAGAAGGGCATGGTGACAAATATTTATAGTCCCAAGCACTGAGGAGGATGAGGCAGGAGAATCTCAAAGTGAAGGAAAGAAAGAAAGAAAGAAAGAAAGAAAGAAAGAAAGAAAGAAAGAAAGAGAGGGAGGGAGGGAGGGAGGGAGGGAGGGAGAGAGAGAGAGAAAGAAAGAAAGAAAGAAAGAAAGAAAGAAAGAAAGAAAGAAAGAAAGAAAGAGGAAGGAAGGAAAGAAGGAAGGAAGGAAGGAAGGAAGGAAGGAAGGAAGGAAGGAAGGAAGGAAGGAAAGAAGGCCTACAAAAGAGAATTTTAAGAGTGAAAAACCTTGGACAAACTCATGAAAAGATACTCAGTGTCATTATGTATAAAGAAAATGCAAATCAAAACCATTTCATCCTTGCAAGGATAACAAAATTAAGAAAAGCAGAACTGGACAAAGTATATATATAATTTATAAATATACATATATATGTATGTATATATATACATATATATGTGTGTATATACATACATACATATGATCAGGCACTCAGAGGTTGAGGCTAAAGTATGGCCATGAGGTCCTAGGCTAGCCTCGGCTACATATTGAGTTCTATAGAATAAGGCCCTATCAAGAAGACCAGTGAGATTATGAAAAATTGGGACCACACATACCACTGGTAGGAACAGAAAATGATGCAGCCACCATAACGAACAGATTAGCAATTCTCCAAACAATTACATAGAACTTTCATAGAACTAGGAGCATGC